TTAAATATAATGTATATAAATAAAGTAGAATAAATAAAATATTTATGTTTTACTATTCTTCCGTCTCTGTTATCACATCCTATATTATCGAATATCATATTACATATATATGTTTTTTATTGTACATTATTATAGATATTTAACTTTTTATCGTACGATTGAAAGAAATATCTCAACAAAACTCACAGGCAAAGAAGTTTTGAAACTAAAATACATTTATACAATTATAATATAATTTTCAAGTGATGACTTTTTGATTATGTATATTACATAAGATCAATCAAATCATGTTATTCACATATTAACTTCAGACAAACAGCTCTTAGTATCTCAATATATGGTCGAGCCCGAGGCTTTGCTTGTGCATAAATCGCGCATTCTTCGCTTGCCAGCAATTGAATAGCATTTGAAATGGCTGTGGAGAACACTCAATTGCAGTTCTGATTGCATTGCATGCGCTTTCGGAGAGTTGCTTAGCAAATGCATTAATCATGCCAAGCGCTTTGTTGCTGCCACTTCTTGTGGGTCTCATTTTGGGTGGCATTCGACAGAGAGGAAGAGAATGCGAGAGACGGAGAAGTGGGAGGAGTGGGAGGAAGGACAGGCAGTTGAAGCTGTTTCCTCAATTCTTGGGAATGGCACCAACAGAGACTCGGCAGAGAGGTCTGTAGTCGAGAGCAACACCTACAACCAAATTGAAACGACAAGCACAAGTGGCACAAGAGAAACACAGAGAGAGGTAGAGAGAGAGAGAGAGGAGAGCAACCTGTGTGTGGCTGCAGCTTGATCTGGTTGCAGTTTTAATCAATGAATAATTTAAATATTCCGATTAAACAAGCTGCTGGCCTGGCAGCGGACATTTCTTTTAATTCATTGCAGCCAGCGGGAAGGGCAGCAATTGGAGCGCACTGGGAGCGCAGTGGAGCCCAATCAACACCTTTTTGGCCACAGACTATCTTCGTTTTTTATTTTTTTTGTGGCTCACATGTTCGATGCAAATCAAGTTGGCAACGTCTGGGCGGGCACAGGACACAGACTTGGGCTATCTCGCCGTCGATCCCGATGCCTGCCAAATGTCAGTTCCGGCCTGATTGCAAGCCAGCTAATGAATCATTTTGCTCAGCTCTACAGCTGCCCCTCTGCACGCCCTGTCCCCCTGTCCCACTGTCCGTCTGCCGGTGTGTGGCGCGAATTAATTATGCACACCTCTTCGTTTTCTGGGTAGGCGCATGTTGAGGTCTTGATCTTTGGACTACTGTGTTAATTGTTGGCTCTGGTTTTTGGCGCTCACTACGAACCGATTTGAACCCGAAATGGCTTTATTATGCCCTCCTTTTCGTCTCTTTAGCCAGGATGAAGCCAGACTCTGCCTGGCTTGGCGTCTGCCTTCAGTTAATTGGACCACCCTGCCCCGAAGCCGCGTGACGCGAAAGGATTTGAATCAGGGCCTTTGCTTCATATCGTATTCTCAGCTGTCAGGCTTAATTTGCATGCGAGCCTCGGCAGCTCTGACCTGACAGATTAATCCACGTGTTAGACTGGGGACTCTCATTGAATGAACTCTTTAGAGTTCAGATTCCACATGAGCTCTAACTATGTGGACTACGCCAGCTTTGCCAGGTTTTACCTAGCACGCAATGTTCTACATTTGAGCAGCTTATCGTTTTCGATGGAACGACCTTGTTACCTATTCATAGTTGATCAGACCGCCCACAGCTAGCGCCGCGTTTGGCATTCGATAAAATTCTAATGAGTGCTGAGTGCAACATATAAAAGCACAACAATCCCCCATCGCAGCCAGACAGTGCACAGTTCTAATCCAAAGCCTCAACATGGTCAATCAATGGAGCTATGTCTTCGTGCTCGTTTTGCTGGCGTCGCTGCAGTCCTCACTTGGAAAGCCCATGGGCACAGTTATCGATTGTAAGTAGCAGTAGATCACCTAGAGCAGGACTTAGTTAACCCCCATTGCAAATCCAAGTGGATGCCTACTTTGAGGACGCGGATGGCAGTTCGCAGGAGCGCGTAGTGGGCGGCTACGATGTGCCCGATGATGAGTATGTGCCCTACCAGGTCTCGATGCAGTTTCTCACGAAGAGCGGGAAAATGCGCCACTTCTGCGGTGGCTCCCTGATCGCCCCCAACAGAGTCCTAACGGCGGCCCACTGTGTCAATGGACAGAATGCGAGCAGGATTAGTGTGGTGGCAGGCATTCGGGACCTCAACGACGACAGCGGCCAGCGAGCCCAAGTGCAATCGTACGAGATGAACGAGAACTACGAGGAGCTAGTGACCAGCGATATAGCTATACTGAAAATCGATCCACCCTTCGAGATAGACGACAAACGCGTCAGCACCATTGATGTGAGCAGCAGTGACCTGGTCGGAGCCGATCAGGAGGTAATGCTGACGGGCTGGGGATCTGTATTTCATTTTGGCACCGGACCCTTTTCCAAGTATCCAACCATACTGCAGAAGCTGTCCTACAAGACGCTAGACAATGCCAAGTGCAAGGAGACCATGACGCAGCTGACGGACACGGAGATTTGTGCTCTGGAAAGGTTTGGCAAGGGCGCCTGCAATGTGAGTGGAAAGCTGTAGCTCGGCATTATCGGCATTAATGCAAATCTCTTTCTATTCAGGGTGACTCGGGCGGACCTTTGGTCATGGCTAACGGCGATTCCCTTAAGCAGGTCGGCGTCGTCTCCTACGGCACCGCTTTCTGCGCCTCCAACAGTCCCGATGTCTACACTCGCGTCTCCATGTTTAATACTTGGATAAAGGAGCGCATGGCCTAGACCGGAAATTCCGATTTACTACAACTGCATTTGCACATATATGAAAATAAATTCGAATTCATCAAATGACACACGCATTAATTCAAGCAGTTGAAACAGCGGCAAGCAGTTCATACAATAGTCGAGTATTTCCTTGCATACTTTCAGGCTGAAACGACAATTTCCGACAAACAGCTTATAATTTAAATTTATTCGAATGTTTTTATTGTTATTTGTAAATTATTTCATTACCTAATAATACATTTAATACCCTAGGTAGTCACCATATACTTTAAATGGATTACGGCGCTGGCTTACTGCTAAAATGATGGGTCTATTCCCGCTTCTTGCGTGAACTACGTAGCCTTCGACTGGCTGCTCAGGGTCCTCTGCTTCTATGTCGTTGGTCTCTCCACTGTCGTTTTCATCCTGGTATTCTTCGTCCTCCACATTTTCGACGTCATTCTCTTTCGTTTGTTCTTCGTATGCATCAACATTTACATCTACATCTGCATCTGCTTCTGCATCAGCATCAGCATCAGCATCAGCATCAGCATCAGCATCCGCATCTGCATCTGCATCTGCATCTGCATCTGCATCTGCATCTGCATCTGCATCTGCATTTGCATCTGCATCTGCATTTGCATCTGTATTTGCATCTGCATCTGCATCTGCATTTGCATCTGCATCTGCATNTGTGGTTGTCGGTGGTGTGGTAGGCGTCGTAGTAGGTGCTCCTGTTGTGGTTGTCGGTGGTGTGGTAGGCGTCGTAGTAGGTGCTACTGTTGTGGTTGTCGGTGGTGTGGTAGGCGTCGTAGTAGGTGCTCCTGTTGTGGTTGTCGGTGGTGTGGTAGGCGTCGTAGTAGGTGCTACTGTTGTGGTTGTCGGTGGTGTGGTAGGCGTCGTAGTAGGTGCTCCTGTTGTGGTTGTCGGTGGTGTGGTAGATGTCGTAGTAGGTGATCCTGTTGTGGTTGTCGGTAGTGTGGTAGGTATCGTAGTAGGAGGCCAAGTACCGACTTGCCATGTTGGCCTTGGAGGCCAAGTGGGTGGCCATATTGGCCTTGGAGGCCAATTCGGTTTCCATGTTGGCCTTGGAGGCCAATTGGGCTTATGAGGTTTGTGTGGCCTATGGGGCTTGTGAGGCTTATGGGGCTTATGGGGCTTATGGGGCTTATGGGGCTTATGGGGCTTATGGGGCTTGTGGGGCTTATGGGGCTTATGGGGCTTATGGGGCTTATGGGGCTTATGGGGCTTATGGGGCTCATGGGGCTTATGGGGCTTATGGGGCTTATGGGGCTTATTGGGCTTATGGGGCTTATGAGGCTTGGGGGGCGGCCCAGATGGATGTCCTTCTTTATGATGGTGATGATGATGGTGGTGTTCTCCTTGAGGTCCCTTGTGTGGAGGCACAGGATATGGGTAAATTATTTGCGGTGGGTGGTGATGGGATGGAGGTGGCACAGACCACACAGGTGACGCCGGCTTTCCAGGGAGTCCTGCGGGTCCTGGTGGGCCTTGGGAGCCAGGAGACCCAGGCGAGCCAGGAGATCCAGAGGAACCTGGTGGTCCTAGAGCGCCTTGAGGTCCTGGTATACCAGGTGTTCCTGGTGAACCTTGAGGTCCCTGGGAGCCTTGGGGGCCAGGAGGTCCTTGAGCTCCTTGGGAGCCTGGAGCTCCGGGTGGACCCAGCGGCCCTTGTGGCCCCTGTGGTCCCTGAATTCCTTGTGGACCAGCAGGACCCTTATCGCCCCTTGCGCCCGTGTCTCCTTTATCACCCTTCAGGCCATCATCACCCTTATCACCCTTGTCGCCTGGACGTCCTGGTTTTCCGGTCATGCCTGTGCAATTCGATCGTCAGTTAATAAAGTAGAGAGCAGAATTGAGCAACAATTACCTGGGAGTCCGGGAGGACCCGGTGGACCGGGGGGGCCAGGCGGACAATTACATTTAGGTGGCGGATGATGATGATGATGATGTGGACGCGGCGGCGGCGGTGGGAAAAAAACTGGCGGCGGCGGTGGCGGTGGTGGATGATAGTGGGCAGGCCTTTTGATAATCACATTTGGTGGAGATGGCGCTGGAGCAGGAGCAGGTGCAGGAGCGGAAGCTGGCACTTGAAGTGTAATATGTCTTCCAACACCGTTGCTGTTATGATTACGGGTGGGCACACTCGATCCACCAACTATTGCCAAATCTGGAATGGCATGGGGAGGCAAATTTAATTTTAAGGATCAAATATTTAGAAGCCTTAACTCACAGAGACAGAGGAGCGCAGCGATCTGCAGCATGGCTAGAACTTATTTGCTGGGGACAACATATAATTGATTTCTTTTATACCAGTAGAACGGTTCTACCACACAAATTTGCTAATCAAATAACTTTCAAATGCCCAAACCTGAACAAACCGTTATTGAAATATAGAGCAAACCATTTTTACTTAATAGTTTTTTTTTATGATCTTATCAGCGATGGATGAATATAAATAGTATAAATGTTTTGGCTGATTTGGCTAGCTAAAACAACGAAAGAAAAAACTCGTTTCTTACGCTCACGCAAGAAATGAGAATTAAGTTGCAAGGCTATAATGACTGCAAATGGACCCAGAACAGGCAATTCAAATATTTCTGTCCACACTCTACAAGTTCATCAAAAATAATATGCTAAATAGATGTTCTTGCAGATCATTGGGTGCGCCAAAGAGCGTAAGAATTTGAGTTCAGAATTTATAACATAACATAATAGCGTAGAAAACAAGTAAGAAAGCTCTAGTCGAGACTGCTCGACTGCGAGATCCCCTGAACCCTTGGAGTAATAGCTATTTCAATTTGGTGAATTTAGGGGTGGGGGGTAAATTTTAACAAAACCGAAATTGTATAAATTGCATATAAGCATACATTAAAAATTTGGAGACTCTAGCAATAAAGGTGTAGAAGATATAATTTTATAACTGGTTTTCGATAAGGTTTTTTATCGATAAACTTGATATGCGCGCTGTAATTACGGACATTTTAAAAAAAATTTGAAGTCTCTAGCTCTTATATCTTCTGAAATCGACGCGTTCATACATACGGACAGACGGACAGACGGACAGACGGACAGACAGACGGACAGGGCCAAATCAACTCAGCTCGTCACCCTGATCAAAAATATATATACTTTGTGGGGTCTGCCGCGCCTCCTTCTGCCTGTTACATACATTTCAACAAAACCATTATACCCTGATTTCCCATTGAAAATGGGTTAAGGGTATAAAAATGGCACATTACTGTTAAAATTTCTTTTTGTTTTGTTTTTGAGCTTTTTGATTTGTTTGGAACACAATACCCTAATTGGATTTTATCGGCTGCAAATGGACAAAATGTTTCTTTTTTTTTTCAATAAGAGCCGGCGCATGAATGGGTAATAAGCATTATAATATATTGTATAATATTAGATAATAATAAATAGAAATATTTAAAATAGGTACGGTCGGACAGACAGACTAAGCAAGACTAGTTTAAAGTGCTCGCCACACTAGGGGATATTAAGTGGACACTACATATATTATTTGGGACACTACAATCATCGGTATCTCTCTATCACATTTAACATTTAATGTTATAAAGAAAGTTTCTGCAGGAGACAAATTATTCAATAAATAGGTTCCCATAGTAAAAGCCATACTGAGATCGGCACGCCAATACATACAAACAAACAACCTTGTCATCCACTTTAGACAACATATATATATAGTTTTGGGTCTGCCTTGCTGCTTCTTGAATACAAAATCATTAAACTGTGAATATAATCTAATCATTTTTAGCAGTTTTCAAGCTAACATCGTTGATTTCATTGCACAGTTCAAATTTCAACCAAAGCAGATATCAATTTATTAGAAAGTAAATATTTTTACATATACTGTAAGTTACACAGCTCCATATTTTACATCACACAACCTTACGCATGTTGCTCTGCTTTCGCTTGAATCGTCAATCGGTACTATATCTCTGTCCACTGGCAGATCGAGCAGTTCAGGATTGTCATCGGTACGGGATGAGCCATCTAACTGTTCCTTTTCACCGCTAAGTCCGGGATCTCCTTTTAATACACGGATCTCTTCTGCCTCCTCAATAGGGACAGCTTGACCATTGATATCTCTGCGCCGTCGACGAAAACCTGGTGGTCCCATTGCACCCGTGTTACCCTTATCGCCCTTAGCGCCCGGAGCACCCTGAACGCCTGCATCACCCTTGTATCCCATTGGGCCCTGAACGCCTGGTTGACCGGGAATACCATCTCTACCGGGTGTTCCATTGCGACTTCGAGGCCCAGGTGGACCCGGCGGACCTGGCCGACCCGGCGGGCAAAAGCAACCACCTTGCGGATAGGGCGGATAGGGTGAATAGAGATAGGAGGGTGGGGAAAAGTATCCAGATTCTTTGCGACGTCCACTAGATGAGCTAGAGCTACGGTCTGGAATCTCTATAGAAATTGTCCGACCAACATCGTTATCGTTGTGTTTTTTCGCAGAGAGAATGCTGCTGCTGGCCACTAGGATCAGACCTATGGAATGAAATTTCATTTAACACCATTTCAATGGATGTAATATCCGGTCTTACCTATACAGAGAAGCGTTGTGAGTCGGGTCATCTCCAAATTACATATGTCATCATGGACATTATGCGATGCCATTTATACGCAACTCTTCCATTCTGACACGTTAATTTAACGACGAATATGTATGCTAATGAAGTTACCTTTAAACTAAAGTATTTTAAGACCAGATCAGAGAGTCTAGATTCTATGAAACCGTTGTGTTTATACTGTTGATCTTATGGTTGTGGTAAATCAGCAAATATGTAATATATGTGCATATATAAACACGTATCTCTGAAAGTATTTGTGACAACGTTCATATATTAAATTAAATTATTTAATTTTTAAGCCGAGAAATAATAAATATTAGATTGTTCGAGCTATGAAAGCTGTCTACTTAACTCTCACACGTAGCCTGACTGCTTGCTAGGAAAATTTGTATCATGGAGCATGTCGCACAAGAAGATACCCTTTAGAGTTTACCCAAACCTATAAGTGCTCATATATATTTATTAATATTTCATTTATTTCAATTTTGGATACCAATGTACACCCTTTCAAAAACGAAACAGAAACTCTTACCTTAATGCTAAAGTTGTGGATTTTTATAAATATTCGAGTGCCATTATCAGGCTCCGAAAATTATATCCTTAAATTTCCTCTTATAAACAAAGCTATTCACTGTAAGTCCCCTACTGATATAGACCCATTAATACATACGGAAAGGCTGATAGACTGGCACACAGAGTCAGCTCATCGTCTACATTAGACAAATTTACAAAATTATTTAAACTCTGAACACATTTTCATTTTGTTCGGTGTATAATAATTTTTAGAGACAGCAGTTACAGGCAACCATTATTTTATTAACAAGTATTTTAAATAAAATTTCCACAGTTCAATATTTTTCCTCACACAACTTGACGCATGTTGCTCTGCTTTCCCTTGAGCCCGCTAATTGGTCTGCCTCGTCAATTGCCCCTAAGTCTTTGTCCACAGACAGATCGAGCAGTTCAGGTTGGTCATCGCTAAGCTGTTGGTCAGAAGTTGAGCGATTGGGTTGTTCCCTTTCATCGCCTAGTCCAGGATCGTCTTCTAATATGGGGAGCTCTTTCGTGCTCTCAGGCGACTTAAAATCTATATTCTCGGTTAGAGTGAGAATTTGTGCATTATCATCTCTGCGTCGGCGACGAAAACTTATTCCTGGTGGTCCAATGTCACCCATCACGCCCTTTTCCCCCTTAACTCCTGGTTGACCAGTAGGGCCGGTATCACCCTTGATTCCCATTGGACCCTGAACGCCTGGCTGACCGGGAATACCAGGTCTACCGGGAATCCCAGGAGGACTTGCAGGCCCAGGTGGACCCGGCGGGCCCGGCGGGCAATAACAGCTCGGATAGGGTGAATAGTGATAAGAAGGGGGCGAAAAGTATCCGGACACATCTTGGCGACGTCCTTTAGATTTGCTACGGCTTGGAATCTCTATAGAAATTGTTCGACCAACATCGTCATAGTTGTGTTTTTTTGCAGAGATRATGACCACTAGGATCAGACCTAGGGAATAAAAGATAATTTAACTCAAATTTATTTGATTTATTATCCGGTTTTACCTAGGCAGAGGAGCGTTGTGAGCCGAATCATCTCCAAATCATTTATGTCACCATGGACATTATGCGATGCCATTTATATGCAGCTCCTCCGTCATCACATGTTAATTTTATTATAATTATTCATTCCAGTGAAATAACTTCTAGGCTTAAGTTTTTGAAGATGCTATCTAGTTTGAAACCGTTACCATCGTATTGTTGTTTTCTTATGAGTTTGAAGCTGTGTAGGTATGTTAAAGCATTCGCACGTTTCTATGATAATATTTTTCAATAATTAAAAAACGAAATTATATAATTTCTAAAGTGTAAACCATGATCAAATGTATGATTACTCGAGTTATGAAAATACAGGTTCAGTCATAGCTATATTTAACTCCAAGAAAATATGTAGAACGATTAACGAATCAACTTATCTGAAACTGTGCCAACTTGACTCGGCTTCTTGTGCTTTTGCATAATGACGGGTTTTGTTATTCACCAATTTGATGAGAAGCCGGTTGACAAAATGCCATGCTATTGTTCTAGTCCAATCAACTCAATCAGAGCGTAGATTTTCATTGACCCAATTCAGAGCGTCGCGAAGAACAAAATCAAAAGCTGAGCGAAAGTAATTTCTCAAATGAATTGGATAGATCAACTGGAGCTAACTGCCCTGGGAACTACTCTCTAATAAATGATTACAGATATATAATATATGCCTTAATTATGCAGTCAGTTATGGTTTGCTCTCCTAGAAATTCGTTTAGTTCCAGAAAAAGAAAAAATTCCCTAACGAGCCGCGAATTAGTTAGCCTCCAAAGTTTATCAGCTAATTGTCGTTTTCTGGGTTAGGGCGATGCATATGAGGCATATGCCAATTACCGGCATGAAGGCTCATTACATTTTGAATTTCAAGATCAAAACTAATGGCATAACTCTGCCTTATCTATGTTAATTTTTAGCGCAATGGGTCTCGCGTCGAATCCAATAAATAGGCTGAGGCATAGGCCAAATGGTATGCATAACCCAAGCAAACATGGCTCTTATTGAACTCATTCTGTGGACAGCTCTGGCCCTAGGCACCGCCTCGGCACGTCACAACTGTAAGTAGGAATATTGATGGGATGGACAGAAGATATATTTGCATGTACTCTCCAACAGCTCGTCAGCCCAATGACTCTGCGCCCTCTCGTATCGTGGGCGGCTCCGATGTGCCACAAGGCGAATATGTGCCCTACCAAGTGTCGATGCAGTACCGAACCCGTGACGGCCACGCCCACTTCTGTGGCGGATCGATCATAGCTCCCGATCGCATACTCACAGCGGCCCACTGCTGCGACGGTATGAATGTAACGCGCATGTCTGTCGTCGCGGGCATACGCAATCTGGATGATAAGGGCGGATCACGCTCTCGGGTGGTCTCCTTTGTCATACACCCCGATTACAGGCCGCTGCAGACCAGCGATATCGCAGTGCTGACAATCGACCCGCCACTGGTCTACAACAATATCAGCGTGGCCCCCATTGAATTTTCCTCCGATACGTTTGTGGGCGGCGGAGTCCCTGTGACCTTAACCGGCTGGGGCTTGCGGCTGCCGGCCCCTTTTCCCTTCCTGGACAACCTGAACTATCCGAATACACTGCAGCGCATGAGCTACAGAACGATTACGAACCAAGAGTGCCGCGAACGGGGCATGGAAGATGTGACGGATACCGAGATATGTGCCAGAGGCATCTTTAGGGGCGCCTGTTCGGTGAGCAAATCAAAAAGTTTAACATCTAGAGGTATGTGAAAATTCCATTCCTAATTGCAGGGCGACTCGGGTGGCCCCTTGGTTCGCGACGACAATGGATTCAAGCAGGTCGGAGTCGTCTCCTATGGACTGGTTGTGTGCGGCCTCTTTATCTCCCCGGATGTCTACACCAGAGTCTCCACCTTCAGGAACTGGATACAAGCGGGCATAGCGAACAGCAAATGATTCGATTGAAATATTCAAAACAGGTTGAGTTCGTCTGAGCTGAGTTGCCATTTAATTGTGTTCGTTCAGTTGGTTATTCTCGAGACGTTTTAAATATATGCAATTTCACGTTGAACTAATTTACAAGCTTAAAGATCACGAATTCGTAAATTTGAAAGGACGCGGGGAGCATCTGTCGGTTGTTAAATAAGAGAACATAACGAAAGAAAAAAATACTTAATACTATTCAGCAGGAGGTGCTTCTTCTGCAGCTGGTGGTGCTTCCTCTGCAGCTGGTGGTGGGGCTGGCTCTTCAGCTGGTGGTGGTGGTGGTGCTGCCTCTTCAGCCGGTGGTGGTGGTGGCTCTGCTGCTGCAGCCGGCTCCGCCTCAGATACCGGAGCTGGAGCTGGAGCTGCTTCGGCAGCTTGCTCTGGCGGTGGCGCGTCTTCACCTGGCGGTGCTGGCTCTGGAGAAGATTCGTCTGGTTTGGCAGCCTCTCCCTCAATCTCCACTTGGGATGGAACGGCTGTGGCTTGAGCTGTGCCGACAGCAGTGGATGTTGCTGTAGCCGCAGTAGCCTGCTCCGCGCTATCGTCTCTGTCAGTTGGCGTTTCCTTCTCCTGGCAAGGATCTTCAATCTACAAATATATACAGGTTAGGACCAGAGCATCGCCTAAGCTATACAACACTTACCGGCTTAATGGCCTGGCGCTGTAATTCAGGATTCGAGTATTAGGCTGTGGTCTACGCATAAAATTGTCAAGTGAAAACCCACCGATAGAACGTAACGGAAGAAGCGCTGTATCACGCGAGCAGCTCTGTCCAGGCGCATGAACTCGTCGTCGTCCTTGTCCTGCAGCATACAGGTGCACAGGCACACGTGCTGGTCCATCATGCGGCGCACCAGGTAGCCACGATAGGCGGCTTGTATGGTGGTGGCCGCCTTGTTGCGCATCAGTTCCTCAAGGCGCTTCAGCTCGCGGTCGCGGAAGTATTGGTAGAGCAGCTCGGTGCCCTGGGACTCTTTGCCTGCGGCCATGTAGGCGTCCACGAAGCGCTTGTAGGCACTCGCGATTGCTGGCCGCGAGGCGTCCAGCTCCTCCTCGGTGAATTTGCACTTGCGTATGAGCTCCTCCAACATGTCAATGTCGGCGAATTTAATGGTCTCCTTGCCGCGTCGCATCTCGCAGCGACGTTTCTCCAGGAAGTTGCGGAAGCAATCCTCCATTACCTGGGCCATCTCATCCGATTTCTCCTTGGTCAGATCACAAATGCACAAGTCGGATATAATGCTGTCCACCTGGCGTAGAGCGCGCTCCAAAATGGTCTTGGCCACTGCAGAGCAACCCTCGTTAGCAGCTATGACTAAATTCATATAACTACATAGAACTCACCCAAGGCCTTCTCTCGAGTGACAATCACCGAGTGCAAGTAGTCGATGATGAATTGACAGAGGCACTCCTTGGTCGGCTGGCAGCGGAGCACTTCTCGGGTAATGTCGGAGAGCAGCTCCGGCAGGCCTTCGGGCACATTGATTGCCTGCTGCCGCAATTTGCCGCGTTGAATTAAATAATTCATATTGCTATCATATATTTAGTTGGTCTTTGCTAAAATTATAAAAGAAACCCGTCAAAATAATTTTGGAACTGTTTGGGGCGGCAATTGTGTTCAGATCTACAGATTATCCTTAACTCAAAAACAAATATATCATATTATAAATACTACTTTGAAGGGAAGCAAAGTCTACTGAGCTCCATCTGCAGATGCAGGAAAAATGATTTTATAGTAGAGCAGATGAAAATCGGTTTTTGATCCATGAAAAATACTACAAGAACCTTATATTCATATAGCTACATTGTTTTTTAACTATAATGCGTTTGCAAAAGTGGGTGTGTTTTATTTCGCCAGCGCAAGTCATTAAATTGCACTTGAATTTGCAATCCAAATTTAATTCTCAGCTGCGGGTAGCGACAATAGCACTAAATCGTTGAACCGCTTTCCATTTCTGCTAGTAGCTGAACTTTCTACCCAGTAGAGCTCATTTGTAAAGCGCTGCGCGACTAGCCGATACCCTAAGCAAAAACAACATTTGAGTTTGAACTCAGGCTGTGTGGGGCGTGGTATATACCCGTTGACTTTCTCAACACGGGAACCTTAAGAACTAACATATGCAAACTTGAAAATCTACTTGAAGTACGCTCAATGTATTTTAAGTAGATCAGGGGCATTGTAAAAGACTTTTCACTCACAAACAGGGGATTTTTCATCCATCAAATTTAACATTTCCTAAAACTTAAACCATAACTAGTTGCATTTTCCTTGTTTGGTTTGATTCTTGACTAAATTGTGAGGTTAGCTACTTAGCTCGGAGACTAAACGTTAGCTCTTCGTTAATAAATATTATCATGCCTAATACTAACTTCTTCAAATCTCCAGTTATCTCAAGTTTTTCTTTTGCCTTACCTTACATACTTGTAATAATTCCATGTTTACTTTGAACTGTAAAAATGCAAGCATTCCATTATGCATTCATTCACATCAGCTGATCATTCCATTGGGAACTGCTTGCCGTGGCTGTTCGTTCCCTCGCTCAAAAGTTGCAGCGCCGTCTTTGTTCGCGTGGGCTGACGTCAGAGCTTTGAAATTGCATATAAACGTTTTTATGGCATGCTGATTGTTTTCGATTGCTCATCGGGTTTCAGTGCGCGACGAACCTTTCCGCAAAGCAGACAGCGTGCAAAAGCTTTTCCGGATAGCACGAGCAAAAGCGGCTAAAGCTTTCTCACCATGCAAAAGCTGTGTAGAAGCGTATGGGCGCTTGGTAATAGATACATTTACATATATTAAAGACAATAACAATAAGCTTTGCCACTTTGTAGTAGGTCAACGAACTGCCAGAGGCGGCAACAGAGGCATCGCTTGCCTGGCCGCCCTCTCAGAGACCCATCAAATCCTGCAAAAGACCTGCCGTGACTTTGCCAATGCGGAACTGGCGCCCCATGCGAGACGTCACGATCGTGAGCATCTGTACCCAGTTGAACAGGTGAGACGCCTCGGCGAACTGGGCCTCATGTCGGTCACGGTGCAGGAGGAGTACGGTGAGCACTGCACCCAGAGATTGGGCAGAGCCAGAGCCTGACTGTCAACGACTACTTGCAGGTGGCACCGGTCTGGATTACCAAGCCTATGCAATAGGCATGGAGGAAGTGGCGCGTGGTGATGCGGCCGTGTCGATTGTGATGGGCGTGAACAATCTCTATCTGGGTGCAGTGCAGCAGCATGGCACCGAGGCGCAGAAGCAACAGTTCCTGGTACCCTACACCCAAGGTCAACACATTGCCTTCTATGCGCTGTCGGAGCCGGGCAGCGGCTCAGATGCCAGCGCCGCCAGTACCACTGCAAAGCTGAATGCTGGAGGGGTTTACCTGCTGAATGGCACAAAGGCGTGGATATCAAACTCCAAGGAGGCCAGCGGTGGCATCATCTTTGCCACTATTGATAAAAGCCTCAAGCACAAGGGCATAACAGCTTTTCTGACCGAAAAGAACGTGCCTGGCCTGGCTATAGCGAAAAACGAGAACAAGATGGGCATGTGCGCCAGCTCCACGTGCCAGTTGACGCTCGACGATGTGTGTGTGCCACAGTCTCAGGTGCTGGGATCGCCTGGAGGCGGGTTTAGGATTGCCATGGAGTCCCTCGACTGCGGTCGCATAGGCATTGCCGCTCAGTCAACGGGAATAGCGCAAGCGGCTCTCGAGCTGGCGCTCGACTATGCAGAGAAGCGTGTGGCCTTCGGGCAGCGCTTGTCCCGACTGCAGATGATTCAACAGAAGCTGGCGGACATGGCACTGCGCGTGGAGACGGCACGGCTGCTCACTTGGCGAGCAGCATGGCTGAAGGATAACGGAATGTCTATTACCAAAGAGGCAGCCATGGCCAAGCTGCACGCTTCCGAGACGGCCACCTACTGCGCGCATCAGTGCATCCAAATCCTGGGCGGCATGGGATATACAACAGATCTGCCAGCAGAGATGTATTACAGAAATGCCCGCGTGACGGAAATCTACGAGGGCACCTCAGAGATACAGCGTATTGTCATTGCCAATTGTGTTTTGCAAAGCATTTCCAATTAGTGTAAATAAGTAAATAATAAAACGAATTTTTGTTTGCGCAATCTGCATTTAAAACTGTTGCCGGTGTTAAATAATCGTATTACCACCACAAATAATCGCTCGTCAAACAGCTGTTAGCATATGCGGTGTAATCGGACGACCACCACAACGGCTGCGACTTGCACAATAATCGTTATCGCCATTATCGAATTAAGAAAGCCGAAAGAACTTTACAATTTGTGGATAATCTGAAATCAATGAGCACCGATCTATTGCAATTAGATGTGGACACGCTGTTTGAGCAGCACAGCGTGTCCGAGATCGATGCTGTGCAGAAGAAAATCCAAACAGTTGTGGAGAATAAGCGAGAAGAGCTGCGCACCATGGTCGGGTAAGCTGTGTGATGTGGCACATAGAGAGCCAGTGCAACGTAATTAAATAGGAATTAATCTCTTAACTGCAACTGCAGCGAACGCTATCGGGACCTGCTCAAGGCTGCCGACACCATAGCTGCCATGCAGGCGTCGGCAGGCACGCTCATCGAGCAGGTCCACTGCATCCAGGGCAATTGTCGCAGCCTCAACGAACAGCAACTGCTGGGCTTCAAGACCACGCCCGCCGAAACCGAAGTGCTGCTACATAAGCGGGCGGTGAGCAAACAATTGTCCAATTACTATAGCACCATGGTCCAGATCAAACTGCTGAGCAGCCTGCCAGAGCTGATCTGGACGCACCTTGACCAGGAGGAGTTCTATGCAGCCACAGAGCTGTTCATATTCAGTAGACACATTAGCACGGGCTTACAGCTGGATGCGAAGAATACGCTGATGCAGCGGCTGCCAGTGGCACAGAAGCAATGGGAAATCTTGCGACCATTCCATATAACCATCAAACAGGCGGTGCTCGGAGTGCTGGAGCGAGAGCAGCTCAGCGCCGAAATGGCGGTGGACTGCATGTTGAGTCTGCTGTTGCTGGACAAATGCGACTTGGGTCAGGTGCTTCAAACGTTTCTGCAGCTACGTTCCACAGCATACTTTAACTGCCTGCAGAGTCAAAACAGCGAAGGCGAAAAGGACAAGCCGAGGCGTGTCAAGGAGCGCATCCTAGCAAGCTTGCACATACTAAACGGCACCATTGAGCTCCTAGATACCTGCCTACTAGGTTAGTGAGAGATATTTTCAATACTTATATTTTTCTGACATATATTTTCTTTGTCTTTCAGCTAATGGCCTGTTCTTCAAACGCTTAGCGGAGTGCGTGGCGCCTACTGCAGCGCCCAGCATCAATCGCATGGATAGCAGCGATCGAGAGTTGGCGCATCTGCTACCCGACATTATAGCCGGCTATAAGCCGCAGTTTGAGACGCCAAAGCTATTGCCCGCACAGCTGTGCGATGCACTGCAGCAGTGGATGTCGAAAATTGACAGCTTGGCGGACAAGCATCTGCAGCCCATATTTGGGCTGGTCAGCAGCATGCAGACCATACAGGATATCAAACTGGCAGCGGGCAGCACGGCCAAGCGCGACTATGCCCAGCTGGAGCAGCAGCTAGAGCTACCGCAAGCACAGTTGGACTTCTACAAGCTGAAGTATATGCCGCTGATCAATGCGCGCATTCGTGAGATAATACGCAGTAGCTGGGTGGAGGCAATGCAGCAAGCCTACGACGAGGTGGTCAAGCTCGTGGAGAACAGCAGTCCACCCGCACCACTGCAAATCTGGCGAGAGCAGAGCGATGATCTTCCGTTGAGTCTGGCTGCCGCTCTCAGCGATCAGCCGAAGCGCTTGGCCAATCGCACCAAGGGCTACGAGGCGCCCACCATTACGCTTTGCGCCCAGTTCGATGCGCAGCTGGCAGCCATTGTACAGGAGCTGAATGTGCTGCTCCAAGAGCAAACAGCCCGAGGCGAGGATAAATTGGCGTTGATCAATTTTCTGCGCGAAACGGCGGAGCAGCAGATGACGAGCTACCTGACTCAATTGAGGGCGCTGCGTCTGAAGCAGCGTCAGGCTCTGTTGCAGGCGCTCCGCAATACGCTAGCCCTGGTCGAGCTGTGCCCCCATCTGAAGCTCTGCTTCTGCCAGCCCAGCAGCTGGCGTCAATGGGTGGGCAATCAGACAGCAGCCGGCGCCGAGCATTGGCAACGTTTGTGTGCACTGATCGAAGAGGAACTGATGCAGCTCTGGCAGCTGGTTGTCGATGATATTCTGGCCACGCACAGCTGCGCGGATAAGCTGCCACAGACCATAACACACGATGTCGTCCTAAGGGACTTTGCTGTAAGTAAAGTAACCTAATCCACGTTTTCGAACCAAGTCTCACTCTACTTCTTCAACAGCTGTGGCAAACGCAGACTCTGGAGCAGCGCGACGAGGAGCACGATCAGAGTGTCCAGTCCACCATACGCATACCCTGCCAGCCACGTCTCTCGCTCCAGACTTACTTGCATCAATTGATTGAAGTCCTGAACACAGCCGTACCCCAAACGCTACCCTCCAAAGTGCTTCAGGCTTTCAATCAGAAGCTGCTCGGACAACTCTTGACCCACTACGAGCATCTGTCGGCCGCAGAGAGCACTAAAAGCAGCCAGAATATTGCGCTGCAGCTGTACTTCGATCTGAAGTTTCTGGAGCGTGTGTTTGGCGTGAATCGCGAGGAGCGCAGTCTCTACGAACAGTTCCATGTGCTGCAGCGCAGCCTGCGCGACTGCATCGATCCGTTTGATTTCGAGCTGTTCGCCGAGCACATAACGACGCATGTTTCCCGCGCCACGGCTCGATTGCATGGCGAACTGGGCGTCCTCACACCTCCGCAGGATAACACGCCGACTGCCAACGCTAGCTCTATATCTCATGAGGCCGATCCCAATGTGCTTTGTCTAAGCTCCTCCGGCTCCACTTCGCTTTGGTTCCCATTGTTGCCTATTGTTATGCCGCAGGCGGCATCAACGACCACTCTTCCTGTTGAGCGCAAGCCTCCTGCCACGGAGGTGGATAAGGTGAGTTTTCCAATGGCTTTGCTTTTACCAAAGTCATTCTATTTAGATCTCTTAATATTATAGTAATGCATTTTTATGTGCAGCCTTTAATATCTGGGTAGTGGTCCGAGTATTATGCATTGGGATGTTGTTCATATCCCTTCATTGCATATAATTATCGTGTATTGACACATCCACTCAGTACGTCTATTATTTGCATAGTTGATATATGATATCCTATAGTGTGTTGGTAATATGACGAATTACTTTTACTGATATCTGTTTAAATATATGGGTGTGCCTGGGAGAGTATAAAATCTTCGGTACTTCGAAGAATAATGTTATATATTGTATTTAACAAATATTCTTTACTATTTTATAAACATATATATTTTTATTTTAGGAGCTCTTTGAATTGTAGTTAATTTCCAAATTTCTCATCGTTTATCATTTGGGTAGGCATTGTGTGCTAAGCTGTGTTTGTTCTATATGTTTAGCATGATTGTTGTTGGTTCCTTAAATGGTTTATAAAGAGAATAATATAGGGATGCAAGTTTAGTCCATAAATTATTCTTAAATTATGCGTGTTGAATCTTGTGTTAACTGCTTTGCATGAGAAGTGTTGTATGCACTGCTTGCTGTTCACTGCTTTTGACCGTTGCCGCACAGCGAAGACACAAACCAGCTGCCGCACTTGAAGTTAACTTTTCTATTAATATGTGTTTCTTTTATGCATTATTGTTGTCAATGCTTGATTTCTTTTTTTGCATCTTCATTATGTTGGACCTTAATTAGACAGGCCAATTTCAGCAATTAACAATAAATAAAGCAAAAGACCATTAAATAAATTATAATTAGCAGTAGCCACAGCTGTAATGGCATTCGCAATCGCCGTCCGCGCAAAAGTTTTTCCCGTTTCCAAAATGGCAGAAATCTGAAATCGAAATCAAAAACTTGCAACTGCCACACACCTGGGTTATTGGCGTGCGCGTGTGTCTGGCTGACTGTCTGCAGCTTAAATGGTAATTAATGAATTGGCCCATTATTGAAATCAAATCGTTGGGCAAATGTTAATTTATAGCCGCGCTGACTTTGTTGGTTATGTGAGCGCAGTTAGTCGCATGTTTCACCATATAAATTGAGCTCTAATTATGTCCAAGTTTATTGCCCTGGCCCATAAATCTTTGCACAGTGCCGCAAATTAATAGATTAATCAACCCAAAACTGCCACAACACATTAATAACCCATATGTACGCCTGTATATCTCTCTGTAGGCGGCAACGACACCAACCCGCAAGCCCGGCGCACGCAGGACCGATGCGAGCAGCAAATCCAAGTCGAGCGCCGCCTCGTTCTTCGGCATGTCCCAGGAGTGGTTCCGTTAGAGCCGTTTGCCATCAATGCCACAGCGAGTGCTCACAGCACCAGATGAGCCTAATGAAGTGGGCAAGTGGAGTGCACGAAACGCGCTCATCCAACCGGAAATCCAATGCAGCAGCAGCAGCAACTGTCATTGCTGTCTATTCAGTTGTGTAATGACTGTGTGCTGGGTGTGTCAGCGTGTGTGTGTGTGTTAACTGTTCCATTCCAAGCGTTTACGATCCACAAAATGTTCAGTATGCAGTATGCAGTTAAATATCGTTATTCAACTACTGTTTCTTCATTTATAAGCTCCCCTTTGAATACATCTTAAAAATATAGTGGCATATTTATTCTTATATTGTAAGTTAATGCGCTTTGTATTTCGGCACACCCCCGAGGGCTATTTTTTGCCTCCCTTCTTGCCGCCACCGCCTGCCTTTTGATCCGCTCCCTTCTTGCCACCTTTGTCAGCCGCAGGAATCGGTGGTTTGTTTTTACCGCCGCCTCCGCCACCGCCACCGCCTCCGCCTCCACCGCCTTTTTTCTGTTAACCAGCAGCATAAAATGGATTGCCAAAGAAAAAGTAAGAAGTAATAATAGTGCACATAATAATAAAGATTCACTGAGAATTGCTGCGGGGTGAGTACATAAATGACATGATAAGTAAACTGGGAAAGGTAAAGTATTTAATCCAATCCAATCCTCTATTTAAAATGTAGTAAAGT